AGAAACCAGAAAAGTTAAAAAAAAAAAAAAAGATCGTGGCAGGAAGGGAAGATAAAATAGAGAGGGAAAGAACAGGATCAAAGTACGTTGGAGAAGGAAGTCAAAAAAATGGGGGAGACTTTAATCAGGGAAGAAATAAAGGATGATAAAACAGCAGCATTGTCAGAAAATACAAAAATTATATTATCTATCTACCAGAAATTACATAAATCTCATGAGTACATATATAGTTTAAATGAAATTTTCCCATCTGGGTTGACAATGCTCTACCTAAGGGTCATAGATTTCCTAACCAAACCCCTAACACCAGCCATGAGAAGCTCCCTATTGAGCTATTGATTAGTGTTTTCTAAGAGACTCCCTAAAACATTACAGAAGGTTGGTACTGCCCTTGTTTGCTGCCCAGAAGTGGAAAGTTCTGCTGAAGACACCATGCACTTTGGACACAGGACCCAGAGCTAGGACTGACTGAAAGCCTTCTTCTCCCTGAGGATGCGCTTTCAGGGAACCAGAGGGTGCTGTACAAGTTCCTAAGAGAGGAAAACAAACAACAATCCTACCTAGCCTATGGAACAACAATGGTCAGCATGGCAAGATAACATTAAGGAACTCTCATGGTACCCTAACCTTAGCCAAAAATCTACTGGCATATAAGAAATGCTGATAGCAGGAAAAATAGCCTTCCCCTGGGAAGAACCCTCGAATTCATTATCTAATGCCCAGTGATCAGCCCTGGAATCACATACAAATAAGCAACATTATTCTGACTAGATAGGTTATATCTATCTATATACTTAAATATCCAGTAAATGCCTTCTCTCACCTAAGAGGTCATGTGCTACATTGGTGGTTCTAGATGCTGTGAGTTGTTTTTCTTTTCCTTTCTTTCCAAAACAAAAGTGTGGTTCTTTTAAGTAAGATTCAGCTGTAAATCTGTGTTTTACCTTTTCACCATTTTCCTTTTTACCCCTAAAAAGTTGCCCTCAGAAAAAGTCTGCTGGGTCACCAGCCAGCCTCTGGATCTATGCCACAACTTAGTTTACCCCTGTAGACGTTGAAGCCGCTCTTCAGCAAGAAACAAACACACTCATAAAAATACTTGCAACACACGCCTGTGGTCCTAGCACCCAGGAAGCTGAGGAAGGAGGATTCAGAGTTCAAGGCCTTCCCCTAGACTGCATGGCAAGTACCAACCTGGACTGGGCTAACACAGGAGTGCCTCTATCAAAAACCAGTAACAACAGTTCAAGTTCTAAGTTATATTCTGGAATACATCTTAGAAGTAAGCCAAGCATACTAGTAATGTCAAAAAGAATTAAACAGGAAGTGAGTTTTGTGTGTGTATCTGCTGCATACGGGGATAAAGAGTGGGGGAGGACACACAATTGAACTACAAAAGGAAGCATCCAAAATTAACTGCACCTGCATTGTAAAGTGTGTGCCAACACTGCTTAGTAATGAGAGCAGTAAAAGCTAAACATCTGCTACCTCCTACTGAAGGAGCTAAGACACTCTATCGTGAGTCTACACTAAGTACAGAAAGAAAAATATTCAAACTGTGACAATGCAGAGAGTAGAGGTAAAATAAGACTTAAAAAAATCTTCACACAAAACACACTTACTACATTTTATCATTATAGGTGTGGATATGTACGCAGGTTGAAGTGCTCTCAGAGGTCACATAACAACCTGTGGATTCCATCTCTCCTTCCACCTTTATGTGAGCTTCAGGAATTAAACACAGGCCACCAGGTTGTATAACAAGTGTTCTTATCCACTGAGCCATCTATCTGGCCTGCACCTGCTATATTTTAAAAGGCTATTTTTGGACAAAGATTATAGACCGTACTTTAGTCCATAAGATTTTAACTGCACAGATCAACAGCTCTTGGTTGTAAATATTTAGGTCCACATTTTATGTTGAACTTCCTGTCCCAGACTATCACTAAAGAGTTTTTTTCTGTTTTAGGAGAGGATGCTAGAAGGGAAGCCAGTTATGCGTCACACATCTAGGGTGGATGTAACGAGTCACTGCCAGTGCACTTGCTTCTGGTACCAACACTTAGTGCTAAGAACATCAGATGTTTATGCAAAGCCAAACTTAACAAGAAGCTCCTCATACTGAATCGTGGAATTACTAAAGGAATAGTGACTGTTGGGGTTTTTAATGACAAAAACACCATTCAATAAAAGAAGTGGTCCCCCACCCCTGTTTGGCTTTTCTAGCAAAGTGTCCACTCTTTATCTTTTCCAAGGGGTGTGTTTATTTCCTTACATTCCAAGAAGGCAAAACTTGAAGCAACAGGTCAAAAGGGCAGTTTAAAGCCCCTTTAGCCTAACATTCTACTATATAAACAGACAACTAGGCTGCTTGATGTTAACAACAACCCCCTCACCACCACCACCACCATTCAATCAATGATTTAAAAAGGCCAGGCTGTGTGGTTTTGCCCTGTCTCAATGTCTTTCTCCATCCGTCTATTCAAACAGACCTGAAAAACTGTGTCTTAGCTTTTCCAAGATGACTCATCATAACATATACTTTACTTAATGGACCTTTTCCTTTGTTAGTATCTCTTGGTTTGCTCAGTCCTCTTATAAGCTATTACTTTAGGGTAATCTTTTCAATCTTCTATGTCTTTGGCTATCAAATCCATCAGTAACTGACATTTCAACTATGAGTTATAAATGATTCTCCTAAAAGTGCATGTTCTTATGTGCTTATTTCATTTGCTCATCAGTAGTAAGAACCTATATACCCCAAATATGAAGAAAGAAAACTTAAATTTTTATATCAACAACCATGCTCCGTGTCTTTCCTAAAAAAACAGATTTAGGTAAGTAGATAAATTTGTTTTGGCAGCAGAGTTTTCATGTAGCCCAGACAGGCCTTAAACTCCATGTAGAGTTAAGGATGTCCTTAAACTCCTGATCTTCCTGCCTTTACTACAAAACTGGGTGCTGAGATCACAGGCATACACTACCATATCCAGTTTATACCATTCAGTTGTAGGTACCACATTCAAGGATTCACGGGTCTGTACAGACACACTACTAGCTGAGCTACACCCACAGCTCTAAGATAATTATCTCAGAGAATCTTCCAAAAAAACTGGGATTCAATTACCAGCACCACATAGTGGCTCACAACTGTCTGAAACTCCAGTTCCAGAAGATCTGACACCAGTGCAGATAAAATACAATTAAATAAATTATGAAAAAAACTCATGTCATATACAAATGCTCAATCATAAATCTAACCCTTTCATTTCAAGCAGAGTAAACAACTCTTATAGTCAGGTGTGAATGTGTTATTCCTTGTTTAAAAAAAAAATAGCCACAAAATGAAATCACTTATTTATGGTGGTATTCTTGTTCAATTCAATCTCTCTAACATGCTTTTGTCCTGTTTCTCCCTTCAAAGGTAGTAACTTTGTTTTTCACTATGCATTATGGTACTTTTCAAAGGTTATATAAGCACTGGACCCTGAGGATTCCACAGTGAAGAAAACAATGTTTCTATCCCCATGTGATTTATGACCTGGTCAAAGACAGGAAGAACCAATGAATTTGTAGCATGAGGTGACAAGAGCGCTACAGGGAGACAAGGCAGCAGAGGGAACACTGTGAGACTGTGTTCTTCCAACAAGCAATTAAAGCCCAACCCATCTAATGTGCAATCCTACCCACATTTCCTTAACTTGTTTATATTTCAACTTATAATTAAAAAACATCACACCAAGATTAATACTAAAAATGTAATGTCATTTAAAGGTAAAGCTTACTTCAGAAATAACCAAATATAATAATTTTACTTTTTTTTTTAGAATTTCATACATTGAGTACTGAAAATTAACTTTTTTGCAATTAAAGATGATAGAATCAGTTATTTTTCTTTGACTGGCTCTCAGATGCACCCCTAAAACTGTACAAACTGAGTTTCAAATTATGCCCTGATATTAGAGTCCACAAAACCAGAGTGCACATCCAGAATCTGTCCTTTTGCTACTTTACACTTGTGCTTTTCAAAGGCTAGCACGGCTTCAAACTTGAGACCCACACATTACGACTCTATGGTAACACTAGACATTAGAGACAAGAGCTTTGTGCTGGTGATTTAAACACAGTTGTTCGACTGTCTGAATCACTTAAGTGTATAAAATGTCTCAACTGTTTACAAAGCACTGAAACAACTGGAGAAGTGACAGAAGAGCACTGTGAGACGAGCTATTACTAAGGATTTGAGGCAAAGAAAAGTGACACAGACATTAATTGCCCTGTTTCACACTCAGAAAATTACAATGAGTTGCTTTGCCATCTAAATAATAAAATATAACTTTGAAAAACTCAAATTTTCTTTTTGGAACCTTTATCACTATTACATTCCACATGGCTCCAGTCTCAAGATATACATTAGTAAATGAATGCACAAATGAATGAATGGTAATACTGGAGGTTCTGGGTCTTTTTAAAAAGTATATCAGAGTTAAATATAAATATTTTAAACTTCCAAATACTAAAAGCTATTAAGTCCAATGGATGGTAAGCCTTCCCTTACTGCTCCGGCCTTCACATGCAGGATCCTCTCAAAGTTTTAAAGATTTAGGAAGCCATGATAACCTCCCTTGTTGAGGGCACAACCTTTCACAGCTGCTCAGGAACACACGCTGTCGGGCACTCCTTTCTGTACTGCATGACCACCAGTCTCATCCTTCCTTAGTTGGTTCCAGGAGAAAAACAAAACTGGCACAGCTGATCTCTTGACTAAGATCTGAGCCTATCAAAACTGTTGGGTTGAGGGAAGGGATCAACCAATTATAGATCAGCCAATCTGTAATGTCCCAAAAAATCAGAAAACAAAACAAAACAAACAAACAAACAAAAAAACCTACCACTATACTGTACAGGCCAGAGTTTGTGTCCTATTGAGAACAAAACAAAAACTACGAATGCAAACTTCATTTCATTCTCAAGATGAGAAAGAAAAAGAAGATACGTACCGCGTCTGTGATGTCGATTTCATACACCCTTTGGAAAGTCCTGCGCTCAAAGAAGACAAGTTTGCCATTGCCACATCCCCTTTGAACAGAGGTGCCAGTGACTATGAGTTTGTCATCAGGACTGAAACAGCAGTCGGTCCTACACACAAAAGAGTTGATAAGTATAAACTCTTGGCTCCAAAACAATAGTGCATCAATAATGAATGAATTAAAAACACAAACATCCCCATAAAAGAGCTAAAGCCTAAAAGGTCTTACACATGAGGCATTTTAAATAATTTGCTTAATCATCACAGTACTGTTATGAGATAGATGTTCTCCTTATTGTGCTAATAAGGAAGCTAAGACAGAGAGGTTAAACAAGCCTTGTCCAGTGTCACACAAAATGTGACACTTCTGGAACTTAATTGCAGGAAGTCTGACTGCAGAATCTTTGACATTAATTTCCACATTATGACGTTTTAATGTAAAAAGAGTGTGGGAAACATTCGTTACATCTCTGATAGAGCTATGATAAAAGTTAAGCACTTTTCACAAGTACTTGTATTGCCCACATCACCACTATAACCTCCAAATTCTAGTCACATCAAGTCAAGCACTGTGACAGAAGAAAACTGCTGGAAACAAGCTGTTGCCTTTGACTCCACAGTTTCAGTATCAGAGCCACGGTCTCTTAATTGTGAATAATCTATATACTATTCAAAGAAGTTCTGTAGTAGCCATTGTTTGAGCAGGTGTAATGGCTCAAAAACCTCTTTTATATATTCTAAATCGCTGTTAGTTGGTGCATTTGTTATGAACAGGTAACACCACAGGTGTGGCTGTTAGAGCTGCCACCCCACTCCACATAGTTTCTCTCACTTGATACTTCTATTACCTTTATATTCTCCCTGTTGGACATTATTTAACACAGATGTAAAGTTTCACTTCTTCCAAAATAGAAACTGTTTCCTAGGCACCAATTATAGGACTAAGAGATTAAATCCCACCTCAGATGCTTCAGAATAATCTTTGAAAGCTTAAGTTGCCAGACTTAGTAGACTGCAGATAACAGTATTTGGCCATTCCAAACAAGACAGTATGAATAACAAAACAAAACAAAAAATCTCTCTGTATGCATAACAAATACATACATGAAATCATGAACAAATAGACATCACTGATCTAAAACAAATGTGCAAAATTAAAATATATGTATATATATATGTGTGTGTATATATATATATATATATATATATATATATATATATATATATACACTTCTCAAGTCCCTTTCCTAGGAGATTTAAAACACTTGATGCAAATTAACATTAAAGAAATTTCTTTTCCATTCTCCTATGTTACCCAAATAACAAAACATGCTACTTGTTGGGCTGGAGAGATGGCTTAGTGTTTAAAAGCATCAGCTACTCTTTTAGAGGATGCAAGTCTAATTCTCAGACTCAATGGTGGCTCACAACCATCTCTAACTCCAGTCACAGGGGATCTAATGCCTTCTTCTGGTCTTCTCAGGTACCAGTATACATGTGGTACACAGGCATAAAACATAAAACAAAACAAAAACATAAAACATAAAACATTCACACATACATTTAAAAAAAATTTTTTAAAGTTAAAACAACTTACATTGGAAACAAGGTGGGAAGGTCTGAGGCTGAAAATAATGGCTTATTAAATTGTCGGACATCCCATAATTTTAATGTGTCATCACCTAATTGAGGAATGAAGGAGGGGGAAAAGACAAGTGAATTTTGCACAGAAGAACTCATGCCAGCTTAAAGTTTGCTAAACATATGTTAACTATAAAGAAGAAAGGTTGGGAAGAAGTAAAGAAAAATGGATATGGGGAGAGGAAGAAGGGGAAACCAAGTGAACCTAAGCATTTTTCCATTTTGTAATTGTTTAGGGAGTTTGAAAAGGCAGTAACAGTTGCAAAAATAGTACAAAATTGTATGATAGTAAGTTATCCTCCTAGTAATTACTTTCCAGATTGATTAACATCTGTCGGCAGCCCTGGAGAACCTACACTGAAGCTTCATATTAGAGCAGATGGTAGCTCCCTGTGGTATGCTGAGTATAACCTGCTTTCTTGGGAGGCCTTAATTTCAGAACCATAAGGACTGAAAATAGTTCAGTTCACAACAGATTAATTTTCCCATTAGAATGTGTGTAGTATGCTCCGTCAACACTAATGATGAAGGCTATGTTATTCCTCGCCCCCTAGAGAAATTCTACCTGTGGCTATTATTCTTCATTTTGCTGGGAAAGTACTACATTTCCAAGCTACTTAAAGAGTGATGGATAGTCTTTTAAGAATACTGTTTTTATATTTCCATGGAGCTACTCACAATCTTCTGACCAGAACAAAAGCCAAGCTCATATTAGTAATGTCTTTGCTATCCTTTGTTCCCAGCACCCACAGTCTAAGACTGGCCTCAGCCATTAGGGCTCTATTAACCCACTGTCTTACCCATGTGAGATGGATGCAGCAAACAAACCAGGAACAACAAGCACGAAAACCATATAAGTATATATATGCTTATAATACAATCATATAAAATAAAATATAGTAGTTAGATACTAGAACCTCTGCCTGCAAAACTAAACTGTGTTGGCGTTTGAGCTCAGAAGAGCGCTGCACACCAACGGTCAACAAACACAGGATTAGATACCAGGCATGGGATGATAAAGTAGGAGAGAACAAAGAAAGGAATACAGCTAGGCATGTTGATATACATTGGTATAGCAACCAGCATCTGGAGGATAGAGCAATCAAAAGTTTGAGGCCAGCCTATTGTGTTCACACCTGAGATACTTGTAAAGACCAAAGTTTTATAGAGTTGGCTCAGTGGTAGAGTGCTTGACTAGCACGTATACACAGAAAATAAAAGAATGTAGATGATCATTTACAAAATTCCAAAGGCAGAAGCAAAAGCCATCCATGAAGACCAAATTCCTATAAAATTTGATGCTAAAATAAAAATCTAAAGAAAAAAATTAGAAGTTTTGGTTGGTAATATCTTACATTTTTATTTACATATGTATATGTATTTGTATATTGCATGTATATACAAGAGCATGCTAAAGCTTGCGTGTGGAAGTCAAAGGACAACTCTGTGGAGTTGTTTTCTCCTTCCGCCATGTGAGTTCTAGGAACTGAACGATCTTAGGTCACTAGGCTTAGCAGCAAGCACTTTCATTGCTGAACCTTCTTGCAATTCCAATTAGTAACTTTTGATACAGTGTCGCCAAGTTGAAAGCACATTTTAATAATAATAAAACAATCACATTAGCAAAGGTCCATTAATAAAAGCACAGCTAACATTAGTAAGCTCTGGCACATGAAGTATGACATTTGTTAAGAGTTTAAAATCGTCTTCTTATGTATAGAAACACAATCAAAAAGAGCTGTTTACCTACCTCCACGAGAGGCAAGGACATTACCATCATAGGAGAAAGCTACACAAGAAGTGTCTGTGCCGGGAGCGTGAGCCTGTTTATAGTGGAATTTAGGATGGACCTGTGAGGAGACACAAGCAAAGCAGTACCATCTCTTTTATATCCAGATAAGACTAACTTTGTGCAAAGAACATTTCATTTTATCATTCAGAAAATTATATACAGCTTAGGTGAAGTACTAATTTCACCCAATTATAGTTTTGTTCCTTTAAATAAACTAAAAGGCTTTAACAAATTTTACTGCCTTAACAAAGAAGAGATAAGTCCTAAGAGGAAGCATTTTTTTTTTAGCAAGGCCCAAGTAATATAAAATAACAACTATTTTTGTATTATGCCTTGAAGCTATTGGGATCGTTCCCCACATTTATCTGAGAGATAATGTTATATATCAAATGAACATATTACTCACTTAATATAAAATGCTCATTTTATTCTTAATATATGCAGACATGGTGCACACAGCTGTGGCCCTTGGACTAGCTAATGCGCTTTTTGTTGTGGATGGTGGTGATGGTAGCAATGGTGACAACAGTAACGCTTGCATAATGCTTAGCATGTACTGAGTACTGTATCCACAATGTCTTTGACAGAGTCTTAAACATATAATTTCTGAACTCTCAATCATTGTGGCATCAATGATGAGTGAGTTTCCATCCAGTAGCTTCTAGAGCTCAGTGTCTGTCTCTTGGTCTGTGTGACAGCTCTCAGCCAGACATGATGACTTATCTGTATCCTTCGTATTTGGGAGGCTGAAACAGGAGAATCACCATGATCTCAAGGCCAGCCTGAATAGTGAATTCCAGGCTAGTAGAGTGAGATCCTGATTGAATATCAAAACAAGTTCAAGCTTAAGTGAGTGCTATGTCTCAAAAAGATGATGAGATGCAATTATGCCACCTACATGTAGATTCTGAGAGTAAGAGTCAGATTATCTGTCTCGTTTGGCTCTCTTCCCACTTTTCCTCCATTGGCATTTTGGCAATAGATTTCTTAACTGTCTAACCCTTCCCTGGCATCTGCTTTCCAGGGAGCCCTCATGCACACAGGCATTAGGAAGCAAGACAAGAGGTCATAAAGACATGCATGTACTGCCTTACTGCCTTTGGAACCCAGTCAATGGGAAATAAACATGCATTACTTTCTTAGATGATCAGAGACATGCTCAGCTCTCCCCTGAACACAGTGGCTAAATGACCCTTTCACAGGGCCTGCATATCAAGTATCTTGCATATCAGATATTTATGTTATGATTCATAACAGTAGCAAAATTACAGTTATGAAGTAGCAACAAAAATAATTTTATGGTTGGGAGTCACCACAACATGAAGTTATGAAGTATTAAAGGGTTGCAGCATTAGAAGGTTGAGAACCACTGCTTAACATCATGGGACATGTAGGTAAGGGGTCAAGAATAGTGAGCTATCCCAAATGATCTAGCTCTGATTTAACCTCCAGTTAACTACAGGTTACTACAGTCAACTACACAACCCAGCAGAAACCAGCCATGCTGGCCCAGACAAGAAGTATTGTATGATGCCACATAATTTTATCAGGATTCAATATTTTGCCAAACAATTCATGATAAACTAGTCCCTTCTCCCTTCAGTTCAAGTTAGCTACTCTTCACCATGTCTCACACTTTAACTGCGACACCCTCCTTTTGCCTGTTTTGTACCTACCTATGAGAGTTAAGAATTCACTCTAGCAATATTTGTTACTTTTGTCCATGATTAGCTTCAGATAACCAATGTCTCCAGAAGTTATAGTTTGTTTCCAGTGAAGTATAGCCATTTCCTTTATACATTCAAATTAACACAATTCAACATGGATGATTTAAAAACTGAGAGAACAGACTGTCTGGAGTGAGTGTATCTGAAGATTTGGAGGGATTGGCCTTACAGTGCTTTTTTTTATGGTACTAGATAAACCCTGCCCCATATTTCTGACCTTCTCTTTCAACTGGGTCAGGGCCCAATTGTTTCTTTCCCAAGCATACACATGAATTCTGGGAACCCCAATGAGATTCTTGGAATACAGTATGTTATCACACTCCATGGTGCTTACACTCATAGAACAAAAAAAAAATTTTGATTACGTGAACTTTTGAGCATGGAAACAATATTCTCCATAGTAACTTGACAGTTGTCCAAGTTTCTGAGTTCCTCAAATAAAGATAACACTATGTTCAATACCATGATGTGTTTCCTATCTAGTTCCCTTTTGTTTTAGTTACCTATTGCTGTGACCAATGTCTAACAAGAAGCAACTTAGGCAAGAAAGAATTTAACTTGACTCTTACCTTGAGATGACAGCCCGACATCGCAAGGGAAGCCCGAGGCAGCAGGCGTACCTCACAGATGTGGCACTAAGAACTTGCTAACTAATCTGGGAGGGTTAGAATACGAGCAATGACAGTGCTCAGCTGACTCTACCCTTTTAACCATTTCTCTCAGCCTTGTGCTCACATTTACTCTCTGTCTCTCAGTTACTCCTACATGGAAAGGCCCTCCCTCTGAGACATACCCCAAAGTAATGGGCCTGCCTAATTGATTTCTTAATCCAATCAAGTAGAGAATGAAAACTGGAGACCAAACCTTCCCTCTTCCCATTAATGACTCTCTTTTTCTTTCATTTCTTTTAAAAAAATAATTTAAAGATAAAAGACAGCAGAGATGACACAGGGGTTCAAAGTGTTTGGTGTTGAAGCATGGGGACAGAACTTTGGATTCCAGCACCCAGATAAATGCCAAGTGCTGTCCAAGTAATTGTAACCAATGACAGAGGAGGCAGAGACAGAAGGACCCCTGAAGTTTACTGGATGCCCTCCTCTGGCCTCTAGGCATGCCCAAGTGCACACATTTATGTACATAACACACACACACACACACACACACACACACACACACACACACACACGAGACCTAACAGTCCATTTATCATTCCCCATAATGAAAAATTTAGGATCCACAATTACAATGCAATAACATTTACTGAGAACCCTTTGTACATTCAGGAAAAAAGACACGAGATTTTCTTGAAAAGATGAACCAGCTGGAAAAGAAGAAAACATGTATAACCACTCTTCTTTTATTACAGTTATTAGTCCATCATTGCATCCGGTACGGTAGGCTATAAAATGCCTGAGTACTGACCTTGAGCCACTGATGAAGAACTCAGACATGATAGAGAAAAAGAATGCATTTATGAGTAGGACTGCCCTTACCAGTGGGGTTCTGATTCTTATTCCAGGTTCACTGCTATAACCAATGTGACCCCACAGAAAACAGCTATGATCTAGCATTTGTTTTTCATCTGTGTTTGGCAAAGGGACAGTCCAGCCTTCCTTCACAACCAGACTATGTTGCAATTCTATGCCTGTTCGGTCATCTCAGACCAGGTGACTGCAGTGCATGACTACCTAGGGCTCTATCTGGTGGCCAGCTGGAAACCGCAGCTGCGGGAGAAAGCTCAGCCACTGAGATATGTGAGTCACAGGCAGAATATGACGCCAGTGCTCTGGAATCTTTTGGCTCCCTGTGTGCTTGCAACTTGAAATTCAAGGTGTTTACTTTAGTCTATAAAACAAACCCCTTATGGCTAGGGCAAAAGTTACCTTCACATTAATCTCCCCTCTTATAAACCCTAGCTGAGATCAGCTGGTGTACCAGTTAGGTACTCTAGATTTATGTTTTAGAAATGTGGTTTGGGGGGTGGGGAAACAAGCCCCACAAAAGATTTGTACTTTTAAATTTTCAAGAAAGCATGAAGTGAAACAGCTTGTCTTTTTGTGGGCTTTGAAACTCTGGCTTATAATCTTGAGACATCATATAGATTCATTTAAGTTGGGGATAATGTCTGATTAGATTATTTAAATATCTGGCATGTTTAACTGTCCTGATTTTAAGCAAATGAAATTTGGGGTAGAAAAAAAATGAAGTAACCAATATAGAATTCCAGAATCTTCTATAGATCTCTAAATAAGGATATCACCTAAATCACTGAGGGGAATGATTTAAGAAAGTCCTTCCAGAGACAGCCCAAGAGGAGGGTTTCCCAGAGAAGGCTTTGTGTAATATCATCATATCAGAGGGCTACAGCCAAGTAAGCCTGGGAAACTCGAGTTTATTTGCATACCATGGCCTTGTCTTGAAGATTCACAATACACATCAATATATTAAAACCAGAGTCTTTTAAGTAATTGTCCTGGAATAAATCAACCTCTTTAACATTCCCCAAAGTTTGACTATAGGACTATTTTTTTTTTTTTCAGATAACATTTACCACTATGATTTAAACTAATATTCCCTGGTCCTTAAGAGGGAAACAAGGATTAGCAGACTTTTCTGGAAAGGAGCAAATATTAACTATTTTAGACTTTGAGAACTTTACAGATCCTGTCACAACCATTTACTTCTGCTGAGTAGCATGGACAGTACATGAACAAATAGATATAAATCTGTATCAAAAAACAGAAACACACAAACAGCATCCACAAAAGGAGATGGCAAACTATATTTGGCCCCAAAGTAGCAGATTTAAAAAAAAAAAAATGTAATCCTTAAGGAAAAGCCTTCTGCTTACTAGATCATTGCTAGGCCAGACGAAGCCTTCCTTGTAATACAGTAATAACCATAATTTGTTATACTGGTGGTGGCAATAATAACAAAAACTGCGATGATAAAAATAACAGCAACTACATTTACTGAACATGTTGCTACTTGTGAAAGCAACACTACCTTTTCTAATTTCATGCTTCATCCTCTCTGAATTACACAGTTTATCTCATTTCACCAACAAGACGACTTATGTCTATACATATGACAAGAAGCTGTCAGAGCAAAAAGTCAAACACTTGACTCTGACTCCAGGAAATACACAATTCAGTCAAACATCTACTTCTTGAAAGCTGTCATGTTTCTTTCTTTGAGTATATATGCTACAGTACAATCAAAGCTCTCAGTGAATCCAGTTGCCTTATAGCCCCAGGACACATAATGTAACAAAAGATTGATAACAGGAAATAACTGTTCCCCCTTCAAACTAAATAATACATCACTTTAC